TATATATATATAGAATCCCTATTTGATTTCAATATTGGGAGAAGACTGGAGTGTTTATACTTTATTTGTATGAAAAAGGTTTACACCATTTATTTATTTCTAATCCTTTATATGTTTCCTAGATTAAAAAACACTTGAAAGTCATGAACAAAATTATAGAGATTTGATATAATTATTATTGATGAGAAATGGTGGAAGTAAATAAAATTTACTATCAGAACTTAATTTAACTTAGAACAGTTGACTGTTTCATTTCAAAATTAATTAATAGTTTCGCCAATGTTTAAATAAAATTGACAGTTAAAAAGAGTCAATGATGAAAACAAAATGATGGAAATAGTTTAGAAGTTTAAAAAAAAACGTGACAATTTTCCAGTTTAATGTTTAACGAATTTTGTTTTTAAAATGAGCAATCCTGGGGCTTGGTAAGCTTACAGGGCAAGTAGTGTCTTTAAAAATGTTAGAGTCAGAGTTATATAGATAAAAAATTTGCTTTATTGAAGAGAAAACGAGATCTTAATCATGAGAGAAGTTCAAACGGTGTTGTTGCAGGATTATGGATATCAGAAAGAGAGAATGATGTTTATTTAGCGTTAGAAATAATCCAAAGCAGCTCCTTGGATTTTATACTTTTTAAAGTGGTATTGAATTTTTTAAGTGGAAATCAAATTGAGAAAACATATATTTTACAGCCTTTTAACATTTCATTTCTTCTTAGTAAGAATAAATAAATAAGTGTAAATATTTTTGAAATTAAAATGGATTAAAGAAAAAAATCATATGGCTTATTTCATAAAAGTAACTTACATTTTAACGCCATTTTTCAATGGTAAGTATGTTTATCACTGCCAATAAGAGGCTATTAAAAAGTAAGGAATTTAATGAATTTTTTATTTTATTTACAAATGAATTTTATAAACATTACAAACTGCAAGAAGACCTATATATTTATATGACTTTTTATACATTTCCTAAACCTTTAATATGGTCATCTATTTTATTCAAACGCACTTCATCACTAGTGAAACTATTAACACAAAAATTGGGGGTGAGCATACTGACCATGATGTATGGGTGTGAAGAAAAGCTACACCTAACCATTATTCAGTAGCATCGTGAAAACTTAGCTATAATTTACTTAGGGATTTTTTTTCTTCAGGTTAGCAACCCTGTCAATGAAATTAAGACCAGGCACAATTTTAAAATCATGGTTGGCCGATTAAATAGGTAGTTAATCAATGGTATACAGGGATACATTTTATGTTTATTATTGCCATGCAAGAGTATATAAAAAGATATATTCAGCAAAAAATTACTTGCTTGTACAGTTTCTCCCCTGCATAAATTTTCATACGCATTAAGCATTTCTCTTTCAGTCCAGGGTCTACCTTCAATGTCAATCACTTTATTAGATTTGGGATCAGGATTTTGAGAACCAATTTCTTTTAAATTCTCCAAATATTGCCTTTCAGCAAACTTTGCTTGATAATATGCCAGGTTATCGTAGAGTCGAGTGTAATTAGGATCTGAGAAACAAACAGAAATTTATGAGCTGTTAAACATTATTTTTTTAATTACAATGAAGCATACCATTCTCAAAATTGATTTAGTAACTGTGCAAGAGAAAAAAAATTAGCAATTAAACATTATTTTCTTTAATTACAATGAAACATAACATTCTCAAAATTCATTTAGTAACTGTGCAAGAGAAAAAAAATTAGCAATTAAATTATATTTTCTTTAATTACAATGAAACATAACATTCTCAAAATTGATTTAGTAACTGTGCAAGAGAAAAAAAATTAGCAATTAAACATTATTTTTTTTTAATTACAATGAAACATAACATTCTCAAAATTAATTTAGTAACTGCACAAGAGAAAAAGAAATTGCCACCCTGAATAACTTTTGTTTCTAATGATCCAATTTCCACTAAATAAGTGCCAATCGTAATGGTTCAAAGGGATGATTTGAAAATGCAATTTTGTGGCTGGTGATATTTTAAGTTACAAAAGCAAACACAAAAGCATATTTTCTCTAAATAAAAAATATTTTTTTTTGAAATGGAGTTGAATTTCTGAAAATCAAATCTGGTCGGAATCTGGAAAATAAGGTCTCAATAGTTTAGACAGGATAGTGTTAGAAACTATGGGTCCTTTTATGTTAATTTTACTTTTTTCCTATTTCGCTGCGTATCGAAACGCTTTTAAGTGAATTGAAAAATTGCAAAAAATTTGGTACCTGCAACTCGAGAAGAAAAAGTTCGCTAAAATCACATGTTTGTGCGTGGTATAAAAACTTTACAGCTATTAGGCGTGTCTTATTATCACGCGGAATCAATTTTCAGATAAGATGTAATTAGATACCTTGTAAGTGACATCAAGCGTCGATGTCGAATCTGATTGGCTACTGAATCGTGGCATAAACAAATGCCACGATTTACCCACACATGACGTATCCAGTTATACAACTTTTTATCTAAATATAGTTCTATATTTTTGTTGCCCTTTCCGGTGACTTCACATTATTAGATACATCCGAAAATCATTAGAAGTTTTATTCATCATAATATAGATAAATAATACTCAGTTTCATTCAACATCGAAATTGATGCTATTAAAAACAGTCAAATTTAGCGCAATTAAGCAAATTTTCTTCATAAAACTAATATTTCAACCTGAAACTAATATTTTAACCTGAAACTTATTTTTTATTTCAATTATTGTTGATTTTATTGTTTTGTCATTTATAGAAAGATGTTTTACGTGTATTTATTTTTTTTAAAAAGTCGCATATTTAAAGTTTAATTTTTTAAGATTTAACAAATTTCGTTCAACTTTTTTATATTGCGAAAAAAATATTGCATTCTTTAAAATGATGTTTGGGACCATTAGATATCGATTAGATATCCATTTTACATAGATATCGATTGCGAATAGCTCCATCCCATGTTTTGAGGGTCAGGAATCTAAATCCGGCAGAAAAAAGAAAGAAACGTTAATTTATTGAAAGTACATTTTTGGGTGTGAATTCGTTACTTAAAATACCGTGCGTAATTATTAATTAACATATATTAGATCATCTATTTAAACTGTATTAAGATAAAGTCCTGACACATGAAACTCTGACCATTAGTTTAACAGCTATTCAAAGTGTCCCCGTTTTTTTTTTCCTTCTCTTTTTTTCGAACTGTAGTACCATTGTCTTGTTTCTTTTCCATCTTACTTTCAGCGGAAGTATCCTTTAAACTGGAACGTGGAACATATACACACATCGAGAAGATTATAAATTAAACATATGCTTCAGTCGTCTAAATTTGTATGACTTATAAGAAAACAGCTAAATACTAAAGCTTAAAAAAAGTAACGCCTACTTTTTACTAATAGCTTTCCTACGAATGAGAAAAGTAATCAACTTGTGGTAATTAAAATCTTATTATAAGGTAATTAAAGTTTAAATTTCTTAAGATTTAACACTCTTCGAACATAGATAAAATTTTAAAAACAGCCATAGAATATAGAAAAATTTTACAATTTTTATAAATTTCAGTGAGTATTGAGTATATTTCGAACTATTGTAATTTTATAGTAAAAGCTCCTTCGTCAATTTTGTCTGTATCGACATCAAGAACGTCAATTATTGCAGCACTTTCCTCTTGATGTCTATTAATCAATTATAGATGAATTATAATCAACGAATTATGGAAGAATTTCAAAATTTCGTTAACTCACTTATGCACCTCAATAATAACTATAATTTTTTTTTATTGAAGTGCATTTAAAAAACATTAAAACTTTTGCATTACCTATACGGAGAATTAATTTTTCACAGCTTTTCCATTGTAGCTCAGGAGATAATTTTTTCGAATTAATTGACTTTTTAATTCTTTTTCTTCTTTTAATTTTACAACTACAATCTTATTCACGATTCATTTCAGAATCTTAAGAGAAAGCTAATGAAACATTTTTTACAAGTTATCACGAGCTTATGTTTTTTACTGTCAGAAAAATGATGCATAAAGGTTTAATAAATTGAAATCACAGTTAAAAGCATAATAATAGAAACTCACCTAATTTTGTTATTTCTTGAGTTAAACTCAATCCATAAGAAAAGTTGCCAACCTGTTATTGAAAACATAGAATTTAATACATGAACAGTATTACGCATTCGAGAATATATATAATATATATATATATATACACACAACAAAATAAATAAATACAAGAAAACACGNTATTTTATATATATATATATATATATATATTCAGAGCATACTTAATAATATAAATACATGAGAAAATATAAGAGTACTTTGTAGCTGTGTAATCCTTGTATTCCATAGTTTATGTATTCGAATAATACATAATGGTATGGGTGCATAATATCTCTGACACATTATTTGAATACTTGAAAAATATAAAGTCTTCATGAAAATATAGACATACTTTATAACATGATTAAGTTCATAACTTGACGTATTTAATTAATGCAAAATAATAAGAAAAAGTGAACAATATGAATATATAATAACATCAAAGCATAATTCTATGAACGGATGAATAGTATTATGTATTTTCGAAAATATAAACCTATTTAGTAAGTCATATATTCTATAATTTAACGTAAAGTATTCAATGAATGTATAACAATTCGAGAATATGATTTATATGCATACAAAAATATTGATGCAAAGTAAAAACTGAACTCCCATGAAAGGTCAAAGCCACATGTACGCATCACAGTTTTCTTGACATTGGGCTCTGGGGGTGTAAGAGATGTTCTGTTTGGGTGCTCAACAGAACGTAGAACTCATAGTGTTTAGTCCCAAGGATCCTTGGTACCAATTTTATCGACCCACTGATGAAGGGAGGAAACGTTGTGTCAACCTTACCCGGACCAAGGATAGAACCCCAGACCAGCAACATTGAAGGATAAAGCACTACCGCTTAGCCACCAGGCTTCATGCAAATTTAGTAAAAATGCAAAATTATATGAATACATGAATAACATTATGTACTCAAGAAAATACAGACAAAGAAAATATAGATAAATTAAATTGAGAAAGCCATGTATTCAATAATTTATGTCTTCAATTTATACATAATGATATGAATACATAATAACATAAATTCATAATTATATGAACACTTAAATAACATTAAGTATTCATGAAAAACCTACTTCATACTACTAACCTACTAAACGTACTTCACATACAGAATACATGATGCACTCATTTAATACATTATAGTAAAGAAATGAATAATGTTTATACATCATAAAAACTACGCATAATTAAATAAATACATGATTACTTCCATGTAATTAAGAAAAAATAGACCTGCTTCGTAAGCTATGTATTCCATAATTTGATTGAACAAAAACTATTACGAAGAAATGAATTAAATGCACACATAATAGTATAAAAACGTAATTATATGATTGCATGAATAACATTCAAGAAAATATAGAGCAAATCGCAACTGAATGGAATAAGTAATGTATTCTATAATTTTATTAGTCAATTTATACATAATAATATAAATACATAATAACATAAATTCATATTTATATGAACTTATGAATGTTATTAGGTATTCATGAAAATATAAACCTACTCCATCCGGCTGAATAAGCCTATAATTTGATTTATTCACTTAGTACATTATATTAAAAAATGAATAATGTTTATACATAATAGCAACTACGCCATAATTAAATGAATACATGATAAATTTTACGTAATCACAAAAATATAGATCTGCTTCGTTAGCTATGTATTCCTTAACTTGATTGAATATATAATATTAATAAGAAATAAATTAAATGTGTGCAAAATAGTACAAATACAAAATTTTATGATTGCATGAAGGACATTCAAGAAAATATAGACTGAATCGTAAGTGGAACAAGTCATGTATCCTATAAATTTATGTATTTAATTTATACATAATAATATAAATACATATTAATATAAATACATAATAATATAAATATATAATAATATAAATATACATAATAATACAAACACATAATAACATAAATTCATAATTACATGAATATTTGAATATTATTAAGTATTCACGAAAATATGAACCTACTTCATAGACTGAATAAGCCTATAACTTGATGTATTCAATTAGTATATAATATTAAAAAACGAATAATATTTATACATAATAACAACTAAGGCATAATTTAATGAATGCATGATTAGTATTACGTATGTAAAAAAATATAGGCTTGATTTGTAAGCTATGTATTCTTTAACCTGATGTATAATATTACGAATGAATGAATTATATGCATGCATAATAGTATAAATGCAAAATTATATGAATAATAACAACATATACTCCAGAAGAATGTGGATCTGTTTTTTACGCTCAGTAAGCTATGTATTCCATAATTTTATGTACTTTATGATAGTACATAATAATGTGAATACATGAATAATATGTATACATGAATAATATGGATACATGAATAATATGGATACATGAACAATATTATGTATTCAAAAATATATTGACCTACTTCGTAAGCTGAGTATGCCATGTATTCTAAAACTACTAATTTATCAATCTCGTGTATCTCTTCTTCGTCTAGTCGGTTCAAAGCTTCATTCATCCACATTAACGAGAAATTAGACCAATGTATGGTGTATGCGTGCTTTCCCACTTCATAGCAATCTGCAGCTATTGAAAAAGCAATATTTAATGTTAAAGGAGGACACGCTGTGGCAATTTATAATTACATAATGAAGACTGATATGAAATAAGTACATTGCAAAAAGCTGCAATTGGAAATTTTTGTTTTATCTAAACACAAAATATAAAGTTTTTAGCTGAAACAAAAGCACATTTTGTCTAAATCGTTTCTTTTTCAATTTTCTTAGTCACTAACATTAATCCGTAGCAATAAAATAACTAGAAATTGTTTAAATATTCAGTAAAAAATATATATACGTAATGACGATTAAATATGTAAAGAGAAAATTGTGATCACATTATTACGATTACTTTTTATCCCCTAGCAAATTTTTTTTAAAAGATAGAATTGTTTAAACGTCACAACATATCAAGCCAAGAGTTGGAAAAACTGCATTAATTGATGTTTATGTTCTTGTCGTCTGCTGAGGCTGGATTGGTTTTCAAAATAAATGCACAGTGGTGAAAATAAAAAGGGTGATAACAAGTTAGGGTGAACAAACAAATACAAAATCTCAGCATGAAAAACAATCAACTCCATGAAGCTCCAAAATTATCGTTAGAGCTAGGCAAAACTCTACCTAATTGCTATTAACAACAGTTAAAAATTTATAATAGTTATAAAAGTAGAAAATTTTTCGCAAAAAATATTATGACTTCTGGAACTGGAGCAGTCGACAAACAGTTTTGAAATCAATAGTATGCTGATGTGTAGTTACATTTCAGATATATATATATAT